TTGCCGGACACGGAAAAAGACAAAAAAAAAAAAAAAAAAAATTTACAGTTGGTTGGGCCGGCCCGGTGGCGCACTGGATAAGTGCGCCGCTTGGGAAGTGCGGCGGCGCTCCCGCCTGAGGGATCGGATCCCACATGCAGACCAGTTCCCGCCCACTGGCGGAGCGAGGGGCGGGAGCAACACCGAGGGTTGCGATCCTGTTGCCGGACACGGAAAAAGACAAAAAAAAAAAAAAAAAAAATTTACAGTTGGTTCATTGTTATATAAGGGATTCTGAAACCATTTTTATATTTTGAAAAATAAGAACATTAATTTCACCAGTGTCCATTTCTAATTTTAAAAACGAATTTAAATCCAAATGATTTTGAAGCTTTCTTTTGAGTTTCATTGGCTCATAAAAGGTGCTTCCAGATCCAAGTCCATATCGTGTCAATTTCCCTCCATCTATTTTCCTTCTTCCCTACATCTTTTCTCTTCCTGTGATTATGATTCATATACAAATTGTCGTGTATGCCATATTGATAGATTTGTTTCTGTTCTCTAAATAGTTCATCCATTATACACTAACAAGAAGTACCTTGAACATTGTTTCTATCATATTACTCTTGTTCGAGTGCATCAATCTGTTAGTGCCCATATCTCACTCACTCATTTATTTATTTGTTCATTCAACAAATGTTTAATGAGTGCCCAGTGTGTACTAGGCACTCTTCTAGGCACTGAGGATGCAACCGTGAACAAAACAGACAAAAAATCACAGCTCTCATGAAGTTAGATTTAGTCACTAGAATCTAGCAGACCCTCTACTTTCTGTCAATTATAAGCCTAATAAGCCCTTGCTCACCCTTCCCCTTCACTGTTCTTTCTCTGTGCCCAGTTCCTTTCTCAACCAACAGCATTCTAGTTACTCCCCAACAAGGATTCTCTGAGCCAGGTAGATTCTGTTCTCTAACCCCATTCCTGCTCTCCAACAATTTTCTCATTGTCTTGTATGAGCATGTACATTTGCTGGTTCTCACACATGCAACACCATCTTTCCTCTCACTCTCTAAATTTTGACTCGAATTTCATAATGAATATTTCTCTCTCTGGCTGTTCCTGCACCAGGTCTTCCCAGTACTGTTCTAATTTACACTTGATAACAAGTTGTTTCAAGTATTCATGAGTTGTTTCATAGGGCTATGCTTGCTGCCTCCAGCTAAATTAGATGAATACAGAAACTCCAAACTCTAAATGAGTTAGTAAGAGAGAGTAGAAAGAGTCCCGAACGAGCAGCTGAGTGACCTAGTTTCTCTTCTAGCTTATTACTAACTACCTAGCATATAATCTTAAGCAACTCACTTAACTGATTCAGACGTTAATTTTCTCCCTCACTGAAATGAAGAAGTTTGACCAGAAACATGGGTGGTCTCTTCAAGCTCTCTTGCAATTCTACAATTCTATTATTTTTAATTCTGCAATCACACTTTATGAATCTGGGCAAATTGTTGAACTTTTCTGCCTTGATTTTCTTATAATGGAACTGATTCATTCATTCATTCATTCATTCATTCATTCATTTTATTCATAAAATCTTTTTATTCTGAAGCAACAGCCTCACAGGAAGTTGCAAAAGTAGCACAGAGGGTTCCATGTAGGCTGGGTGAAGCCTGCATGGAACTGATTAACTTAAAAGATATGGTGTAAAAAAGTAAAATAAATAACTACTTAATTAGTATTTAATACATTAAATACTTTAATTGAAATTGTGTAATGCTATCTCATAATTTAGTTCAAGAAAAGTATATGCCATCATTCCGTGTATCACATGTTGTCCAGGAGGTATAAGGAGGAGAAGTAGTCAGTGGCAGTTAAGTGCCATCAAATAAAACAAAAGATTAACTTTTGTTAGTAAGAAAAAAAGTGAAAAAGTTTTACTTACATGTGTACTTATAAACACTGCGTGTGCACACACACAGAGTTATTGATGATGTTATCCAATATCAGGATGGTGATAAGTCAAAAAGCGTTTCTCATTCTAAAATATTCCATATCCACAAACCTTATACTTTTATTTAAAATATATTAATAATTTGAGGAGTGGTCAAGTGAATTTTTTTACAGAAAAATATGTATGAAAGTTTCAATTTAATCTGCAACCAGATTTTCTCCAGATTATTGTGTGTACTATTAAATTACATAATACATTGTCAACATCATTCCAGGAAAATTTATATTCTGTGAGATTTTTATACTTGGCAGAAAAACTCATAAATGTTATATAAAAATATTCACATTTATGAAATTTTGAACATTAATTTGAGAGGCAAGAACATCAACATTATATAGTCCACAGCAGCAATAAATCTCTTAGGGAGTACTTGGCATGAGAAGTTAGA